CTGTCCTTTTGTTGTTCAGTCCAGTTGTGGAGGACGTCGCTTCCTTGGCCCATGTTGGTATTATCATTGCGCTCTTCCCGGGTGAGGCAGTTGCTCGCTGACCATTGGACGGCCACTCACAACAGCTCACGCTGGCTTCCGGCCGCTCACGCTGGCTGCCAGCTGCTCATGCTGGCTTCCAGCCACTCACGGTAGCACACAGCAGCCCACTGCAGCAGGGGCTGCGCCTACACTGTGGCTGGTGACTCAACAGCAGCCCAGCTCCAGGTTGAGCTATTGTTCACCATCTTAGCTGTAGAGGGCGCAGCATCACTGGCTGTCATGTCGGATCCGAACTGGGGCCACTTGGTCGACCCCTTATTTTGTTTTTTTAAGATCAAAGTTTTCTTCTAAAATTTTATTAATTATTCTTCCTGTTCTAGCTACTGTTTATTTTTATTTTTTTATTTTTTTTTAGGCATGCCTATCATATGAAGATTGACTCTCCTGAAGGCATTTGTTTTATAGAAGGTTTTTGAAACAAAATTTTAGAATACTAGATTATAGCCATTGCCTTCCCTTTTTCTCATTCAGGGTTCTTGGTCTCATGCTTGCTTTTTCCCTTTTTTAGACATTAAAATACATATCAAAAACACCATGCAAGCACCAGAGTCCTGAGATTGTCAGAGAATTTCTCACAGCAATGAAAAGCCACAAGTTAACCAAGTAAGTAAAAATTATCTTATAGAAAGAGTGACACATAATGAAAGTAAATTACAAAAGCCATCTTCAACAACTGCGTATTTATATTTAGTTGGGTTTTGAATTGTAATTAACATTCAGTGTGCTCTTTTAAAGGTAGTATTATAGTATTGTAGATGAATCAGCTGAAACTCTAGAGCCAGGAACAGAATATAATCTGAAAATCTTTTTGAGTCCCAGTTCTGTGTCCTATCCCATCATTCCCTCCAAGCATTTAGATCAATTGGTTGAAAAATGGGTTTTACAAATTAAACGTTTTATAAAGTTGATGAGTTTGTGTTTGCTTGGGGCAAAAATGGCATGATAACATTCTGTCTGCGTCTTAGTGCCTGATTACTTCCTTGGTGACTTTCTGAAATAAGGTATTCTTGTAGGAATTAAAAACATTATTAAGGGGTCAGCCAAGTGGCTCAGTTGGTTAAGAGTGCGAGCTTTGAGCAACAGGGTCGCTGGTTCGATTCCCACATGGGCCAGTGAGCTGCGCCCGAGCTGAGCTGCCGCTGAGCTGCCAACAGGCGGCTGGATGGTTCAGTGGTTAGAGCGTGCGCTCAGCAACAAGGTTTCCAGTTCAACTCCCATATGAGATGGTGGGCTACGCCCACACGCAACTAAGATTGAATACGGCACCTTGAGCGACTGTGAGCTGCCAAAGGGCAGAAGGATGGCAACTAGACTTGGAGCTGAGCTAGCTGCGCCCTCCACAGCTAATAGTGAATGAAGGACAACAACTTGGCTGTTCCCCTTCCTCAATTCCCAAATAAAAATCTTTATTATTTTATTTATTTTTTTATTGGGAATTGGGGAGATGGGAACAGTGGTGGGGAATTGGGGGAAGGGGACCAGACCAGTTGCTGTCGTTTTGTTCTTCAGTCTAGTTGTGGAGGANGACAACACACAGCAAGTAGAAACTGTTAACAGGATGGCCTTCCACTCTGTAACTTTCAAGGTTGTCTGTGACGTTGGCTGTTCTTTCTTCAGCGGCACAGTGGAGATAAGAGCTATCCAGCAACCTTTCCCACGCTGCTCCCCACTGGGCCTGAGAGCCTATCAGCTTGCCAGCTGTCAGGCTTAACCCTTACTGCAGCTCTGGTCTGTAACTTTTTTTAAATTTTTTAAATTTTTCTTATAGCTGAGCCATCCTTCCACCTGTTGGCAGCTCAGTGGCCGCTCAGCTCGGGCCGGGCATTGAATTGCTGTTGCTCAGAGCTCAAACTCTTGAGTGAGCACTTAACCAGCTGAGCCACTCGGCCGGCCCATCTGGTCTAACTTTTAAGCTGCTCTCGAGCTGCTCGCCCTAGCATGGAGGCCTGTAGCTTGCCAGCTTACAGCCTCAGTGTCCCTGGCTGATCCCAGCCAGCTCCCCACATCTCCCCCTTTTTTATTTTTTAAAGCAAACCTCTGATTTAAGAAGCCGTGGATGGCCCCACAGCGGCTGTGCCTGTCTTAGGTTGTCCCTCTCCACTACCCTGGGATAGTGTCTTTTTATATCCCTCGGGTGGCATGAAGCCTCTGAACTGGTGGTGAGATTGTTGTGCACCAGTTCCCAAAGTGAAGGTACTTCGCTTGGAGGCTTCTCCGTCTCCTCGAGCACCTGACGCTCTCTGATCTGTCTTCCAACCCTTTCCCAGACCTCTGAGTCAAAGGTGCCTTCCTCGGAGAACCAAGGGCAGGTGTCCTTTACATATGCAAGAAATTTCTCTGGTTGCTGTGTATTATTATGCATAGCCTTAAGCTTTTACCTAATGTGGGCTGCTGATCCTATTTACCATGTGGACTGCTGATCCTATTTACAATGTTTTACTGTCCAAAGTTTTACTCCTGCCGAAAATTGGATATAGGAATAACAGAATGATCAGTTCTATCCTCCCTATTCCGCACCCTGATTTTCCCCTACCTTATCCAAAGCAGCACGTGCCTTCCTGAAGGAGGTCTCCTCACATACGGTCGCCTTCAATCCGTGCTCAGGTCCCTGTTCGGGTGCCACTTGAATGAGACTAGCTCGCTCAACCAAACGCCCCTGGCTTGTCAGTCAGGAGCTTACCGAAAGGGTACCTGAGAGGATTGGGTGGGAGACTAGAAAAGAAAGAGACTAGAGATGAAAGCTGGGGACAGGAGGTCCACTTAGTGCTGATGGCAGAGAGTGGCCTTGTTTATTGTTTGTACACAGCTTTTATAGCAAAAGTAGCTTTCTTTAGGTAGGGGGTTTTAGGAACAATCTCCCTGAAGTGAGACAACACACAGCAAGTAGAAACTGTTAACAGGATGGCCTTCCACTCTGTAACTTTCAAGGTTGTCTGTGACGTTGGCTGTTCTTTCTTCAGCGGTACAGTGAAGATGAGAGCTATCCAGCAACCTTTCCCACGCTGCTCCTTCCCAGGCCTGAGAGCCTGTCAGCACGCCAGCTGTCAGGCTTAACCCTTACTGCAGCTCTGGTCTGTAACTTTCAAGCTGCTCTCAAGCTGCTTACCCTAACATGGAGGCCTGTAGCTTGCCAGCTTACAGCCTCAGTGTCCCTGGCTGATCCCAGCTGGCTCCCCACAGTTTTATAAACAAATTTTAAAACCATCAAGCAGTTTTTAACTGTACAATCAGTTTCAGCTCATTGTCACTTTTTAAATTCTTGTTTTTAATTCATGGTGCCTTATGGAAAGTTATTGTGGTACTAAATGTTTTGAGACTTTATACCTGAGAATATATTTCTAGTGCTCTTAATGTGAATGACTACTCATCTGAATATGGAATTCCTGGGTTCCACTTTTATTCTGCAGGGCTCTATACGTAATACTTGGTCTATTAGTATTTTGTTGTTATGGAGGAGTGTGAGACCAACCTGATATGTGCACTTTTAAGAGACTCTCCTTAGATGGTGAGGTTACTGTTTATTTTTTCAGGTTTAAAATTCCTTTCAAATTATGTCTAAGTAGGTTTCCCTCTTTAAAAAACAAATGAAAACCTTTTGTTTTGAAATAATTTTACTCCTACAGAAGTTATAAAAATAGTGCTGAGATTTCCCAAGTACCTTTCCCCTGGTTTTCCCTATGTAAACCTTACATAACCATGGTACAATTATTAAAATAAGAAATTAACATTGTTACATATTATTAAACTAAAGATTTTATTTGGAATTTCCCAGATTTCCCACCAATCCCCATCTATTCAAGGATCCAGTCCAGGACACCGTTTTGCATTTAGTTAATATGTGTCCTTAATATGCTTCCAATCTGTAGCAAATCCTTAGTCTTACATTATCTTTCATGACCTTGACACTTCTGAAGAGTATTGGTCAGGTATTTTGTAGAATGTCCCTCGATTTTGGTATGTCTGATATTTTCTCATGACTAGACTGAAGTTATGGCCTTTGGGAAAGAATACCACCGAGGCCATGTGTGCTGTTCTCATTGCATGTTACGGGGGCGGGGGGGGGTACATGATATCAATTTCTTATTACTGATCCTGTCAACTTGGGTCACTTGGTTAAGGTGTTTTCTGCCTGGTTACTCCACTGTAAAGTTGCTGTTTTTCCATGTGTATGTTGTGTTAGTTAGAAAGGAGTCACCAAGTCCAGCCCACATTCAAGGGGAAGAGAATTAGTCTTCACCTCTTGAAGGGAGGGATATCAAAGAATTTGAGGACATGTGTTAAAACCACCACAGTAATTAATAAATGTTTATAAAAAATTATAAATAACAAGATGCTTTGAGGCTATGCAAATATCCCATTTATCCTTAAGCTTTTGCCCATTAATCTAAGCATTCATTGGTGGGTCTTTCATGCATTAATTATTACTATGGTGGGACAGCCTAATGGTGATTTATTTTCCTCATTTTTTTCCTTATGTTTAATAGTTAGAATTCTTCTGTAAGAAAGAGTTGTTACTTCTCATCCATTTATTTAATCAGTCATTTACCGTATTTCCCCATGTATAAGACGCACCCTTTTTCGAAAAATTTGGGGTCTAAAAATTGGGTGCGTCTTACACAGTGGTTGTAGATTTTTTTTACTTGCATTTCCCACTGAGGATGAGGCAATATATGAAGACAGTGATTCGTCATCAGACACAGATGAGGACAAGCTAATGGTTGGGAGTTTNAAAATGTCACATACTTCTTGGGTTCATATTTGTTCTAAGGCTAGGGTTGGAGGGAGGGTTTGTGGGAAGAAAAGAGGTACTATCTTATTTATCCTTCAAAGTCATTGGCCTTAGAATAGATACATTTCTCAAATTTCTTTATAAAAATCTTTTATATATCTCTTCCTAGGTGTTCCAGTTACTAACTGATCTGAAAGAGCAGCGTAAAGAAAGTGGAAAGAATAAACACAGTTCTGGGCAACAGAACTTGAATACTATCACCTATGAAGTAAGCCTAGCATCTGGAGGGTCTGCCTGAACTACCATTGAGGGGGGTTGCTTTATTCTGCTGATGACTAGCCACCAAATCAAGATTGCCTGTCACCTGATTTGAATAGTTTTACTATAACCCAGTTTTTATTCTGTTTATAAAAGTGGAAAGAGTTTGGCCAATTGGAGGATTAGCCAACTACAAAATTAGAGGGAATCGTCTATAAGACTGCCCTCACTTTTAACATTAGGGTTTTTTTTGGTTTTATTTTTAAGAAATTTTATTAGGGAACAGTGTGTTTTTCCAGGACTCATCCGCTCCAAGTCAAGTAGTTGCTTCAATCCAGTTGTGGAGGGCACAGCTCCCCGGCCCATGTGGGAATCTAACCGGCAACCCCGGTGTTATGAGCCTGCACTCTAACCATCTGAGCCAACTGGCTGCCCCTAACATTAGTTTTAAGTCAGGGATCCCAGGACCATCCTCAGATTCAGTAATCCACTAGACATACTCACAGAACTCACTGAAAGCTATCATATTCACAGTTACTATTTATTACATGGAAAGGTTACAGATTAAAATTCGCCAAGGGAAGAAGCAAAGAGGACAGATTCTAGGAGAAATATCAAATGCAGGACTTCCATTGTCCTCTTAATGTGGACTCAGGATATGTTTCTCTTGAAGTTGGTGTGTGACAATATACACAGAGTATTGCCAACCAGGGAAGCTCAGCTGAGCTTGTTGGGGCTCTGTTACACAAGCATGATTAATGATTAATTACCTGTGCAGCTAATCTCAGCCTCCAGGCCCAGCCATACTAGAGCCAAAGCCTCTACCTTAAGTTACATTGTTAAGACTATCCAGGATGATCTCAGGCCCCAGACTGAGCTATTCCTATTAGGTATAACTTTCTAAGAGTCTGGTGATTACCTCCCAGAAGCTGAGGGCAAAGGCCGGACCTTCTCTTTGGGCAAAGCCAAATTCTTTATTATACAAAAAGCGATACTTTTTATTGTAGAAAACCCAAAACGTACCTAAAAGCATAAAGAAGAAAGCAAAAGTAATTCATAATCTTAATATCTAATGGACATTTTGCTGCATTCTCTCCCAACGTTGTTCTCTCCCAACCTCATGCTTTGTCCTTAAAAAAGTTTAAGTGGGCCGGCCGAGTGGCTCAGTTGGTTAAGAGCGCGCTCAAGAGTTTGAGCTCTGAGTAACAGCGGTTCGATGCCCGGCCCGAGCTGAGCAGCCGCTGAGCTGCCCACAGGTATCAGGATGGCTTAGCTTAAAAAAANTAATTTGTTCTTTTATTTCCCTTGCCCAAGGGGATATCTCAGTAAAAATATTACTCAAGGTAATGTCTGCAAATTTACTCCCTGTTTTTTCTTCTAGGAGTTTTATGGTTTCAGGTCTTACATTTAAGTCTTTAATCCATTTTGAATTTGTTATTGTATGTGGTGTAAGTAGGTGGTCCATTTTCACTTCTTTGCATATATCAGTCCAATTTTCCCAGCACCATTTATTAAATAGACTATCTTTACTCCAATGTAAATTCTTGCTTCCATTGTTATAGATTAAATGACCGTATATGGATGGGTTTAATTTTGGGATCTCTGTTCTGTTCCAATGATCTATGTGTCTGATTTATGCCAGTACCATACTGTTTTGATTACTGTAGCCTTATAGTATGATTTGATGTCGGGTAGCGTGATACCTCCCGCTTTGTTCTTATTTCCCAAGTATGCTGAGGCTATTCGGGTTCTTTCATGGCTCCATATAAATTTTCGGATTATCTGTTCTATTTCTGAGAAAAATATTCTTGGTAGTTTAATAGAAATTGCATTGAATCTATATATTGCCTTAGGTAGTATTGACATTTTAACTATAGTAATTCTTCTTATCCATGAACGTGGTGTGTATTTCCATTTATTTGTATCTTCTTTGATTTCTCTCTTCAATGTCTTATAATTTTCTGAGTACAGGTCTTTTACTTCTTTGGTTAAATTTATTGCTAGGTATTTTATTGTTTTTGAAGTAAGTGTAAATGGGATTGATTTCCTGATTTCTTATTCTGATAGTTTATTATTGGTGTATACAAATGCAACTGGTTTCTGAATATTAATTTTGTATCCTGCTACCTTACTAAATTCATTTATCAGTTCTAACAGTTTTGTGGTGGAGTCTTTGGGATTCTCTCTATATAGTATCATGTTATCTGCATATAATCACAATTTTACTTACTCCTTTCCAATTTGGATGCCTTTTATTTCATTTTCTTGTCTGATTGCTGTGGCCAGAACTTCCAGAACTATGTTGAATAGAAGTGGTGAAAGTGGGCAGCCTTGTCTTGTTCCTAATTTTAAGGGAAAAACTTTTAGCCTTTCCCCATCGAGTACNCCACAGGGGCTGCAGCCTACGCCGTCGCCGGCGACTCATGGCAGCCCAGCTCCAGGTTGAGCTGTGGTTCAGCATCTTAGCTGCGGAGGGCAGTGTCACTGGCCCTCATATGTGGGATCTGAACCGGGACCCTCTAGCATCCCAAGCCAGTTCTTAACCATCGCGCCACTTGGCCGGCCCCCAAATAAAAATCTTTAAAACCCCCCCACATCATTAAAAATTAGATTAAGAGTTTACATGAGAAGAAAACTACCCCTAGGCTTTTAGAATTAATACCACAGTTGATAAATCCCAAAAGCTTTTGTCATTTCATTAGGGTAATCAGTAAGTTTCTTTTGAAGGAACCATTGGTATTATTTTTCAGGCACACAGTTGTTACAATCAGTAAATTAAATACACTTCTTTCCATGCCTGTCCCAAATGAACTCTAAAAACAGATGTGTTTCAAATGTGTGTACATATGTGTCTCTGTGTGTGTAAAGTTTGTTTTATTTTTAAATGTGGTAAAATACATAACAAAATTTATCAATTTAATATTTTTAAATATACAGTTTATTAATGTTAAATATATTCACATTGTTGTGCAACCAGTATCTAGAACTTTTGATCTTGCAAAACTAAAACTCTATACCAATTGAACATCTCTCCATTTCTCCCTCTCCCCAACCCCCAACAACCACCATTTTGTTTTCTGTTTTTATGAATTTGACTACTCTAGATACCTAATATAAGTGGAATCATACAGTATCTATCTTTTAAAAAATTTAAATACTGTTTTAAATATATATACATATATACATATATATATTTTACTGTTTTAACCATTTTTAAGCATTTTAGTGGCATTAGGTACATTCATGTTGTACAACCATCACTGCCATCCATGCACAGAATGGATTAAACAGTGACTCCCCATACTCCTCACCCTTTAGCTCCTGATAACCACCAGTCTTTTTGTCTCATGAATTTGACTGATCACCTCCTGTGAGGGAATTGTATAGTATTTGTCCTTTTGTGACTAGCTTATTTCATTTAGCATAAGGTCTTCAGGGTTCATCCATGTTGTGTGTGTCAGATTTCCCTTCCTTTTGAATATTGCACTATATTCCATTTTACGTTTATACCATATTTTGTTTATTCATTGATGTACACTTGGGTTGCTTCCATCTTTTGGCTGGTGTGAATAATGATGCTTCTCTGAACATGAATGTGCAACTACCTCTTTGAGATCCAGCCTACAGTTCTGAGTATATACCCAGAAGTCAAATTGTTGGATCATGCAATAATCCTATTATATATTTCCTGAGGAACTGCCATCCTGTTTTTCCTGGTGTCTGTTCCATTTTACATTGCTACCAGCATTGTGCACGGGTTCCAATTTCTTCATATCCTTGTTAATACTTACCTTCTGGTTTGTTTTTTTAATAGCTATCTTAATGGGTATGAAGTGGTTTTGTTTTGCATTTCCTTAATGATTGGTCATGTTGATCATCTTTTCATGTGCTTATTGGCCATTCCTAATCTTATTTGGAAAAATGTCCTTTCAAAGTCCTTTGCTCATGTTTGAATTGGGTTTCTTGTTTTTGTTGAGTTGTAGGTGTCTTCTATATATTCTGGATCTTAATCCCATATCAGATACATAATTTGCAAATATTTCCTCCCATTCTGTGCGTTGCCTTTTTACTCTGTTGCTGGTGTCCTTTGATGCACAAATATTTTTAATTATGAAATCCAGTTTGTCTGTTTTTCTTTTGTTGCCTATATCCAAGAAATCATTGTCAAATCCAATGTCATGAAGCTTTTCCCCTGTTTTCTTCTGAGAGTTTTATACTTTTATCTCTTGTGTTTAGGTATTAGATCAGTTTTGAATTAGTTTTTTTTTTTTTTAAGATTTTATTGGGATGTTGGGGGAGGGGAACAGCGTTCGGGAATCGGGGAAAGGGAACAGACAAGTTGCTCTCCTTTTGTTCTTCAGTCTAGTTGTGGAGGACGTCACTTCACTGGCCCATGTTGGTATTCATTGCACTCTTCCCAGGTGAGGCATATTGGTCGCCGGCCACTGGACGACCGCTCACAGAGGCTCTTGGCAGCTCACGCTGGCTGCCAGCTACTCACTGTAGCTTATGGCAGTCCACTGCAGCTTCACTGCAGCCTACGCTGTTGCCAGCAACTCACGGCAGCCCAACTCCAGGTGGAGCTGTTGTTCACCATCTTAGCTGTAGCGGGCGCAGTGTCACTGACCCTCATGTGGGATCTGAACTAGGGCACTGCTGCTCAGAGCTGGCGTCCCAAGCCAACTCTCAACCAATGCACCACTCAGCCCGCCCTGAATTAGTTTTTGTGTGTGGTGTAAAGTAAGGATCCACTTTCATTCTTGGCATGTTAATGTCCAGTTTTCCCAGCTCCATTTATTGAAAATATTGTCCTTACACACTGAATGGTCTTGGTACCCTTGTCAAAAATTATTGACCATATATATATATATGAGTGTTTATTTCTGGGCTCTTTATTCCATTAGCTGTATGTCTGTCTTTATGCCAGCACTATACTGTTTTGATTACTATAGCTTTGTAGTAAAATTTGAAATCAGGAAGTGCGAGATAGCCAACTTTGTTCTTTTTCAA